ATAGATATACTTTTGAGGCCTTTAGCGAGTAGAAAAGTGGACCTACAACTTGGGGATGATAATGTTGTAGTTATATGACAGTGATGTTTTCAAGCGGTCAGAGAGTAGGAAGGTGGACCTACAACTTGACGATGTGCTCCTCGGCTTGGGGCAGCGGGATCGACTGGAGGCCCAGATGTTCACAGTTCATCTCCAGGTCGTAGCAGGTGCAGAGGTAACGGCCGTAAGGGCATGAGTAGTCTGTAACAGCACAAGTGCATCAGTCTATACGTTAGGTTAGTCTATACGTTAGTCTCTAACCGCACAGTAGCACCAGTCTATACGTTAGGTTAGTCTATACGTTAGTCTCTAACCGCACAGTAGCACCAGTCTATACGTTAGGTTAGTCTATACGTTAGTCTCTAACCGCACAGTAGCACCAGTCAATACATTAGCCTTTTCGATAGTCTATATGTTAGTCTGTGTGTTAGGTTTTTGTGTGTGAACACATGTTATGTCTTGCATCCTAGGGTCTCCTTGATTCTAACGACCAATCAAACCCCTTACTAACCCTCTATTTGCTGTCACTGCCAAACTGCTGATTACTGCCTTGATTAGACCACTTTTGCGTTGTAGGCACGGAGGTCTGAGCCTGAGCATCTACTGCCGCATGCCTTGTGCTGTCACCACGACTGTGCAGGTGAGGATTTACTGCCGCTTGCCTAGTGCTGTCGCCACGACTGTGCAGGTAAGGATTTACTGCCGCATGCCTAGTGCTGTCGCCACGACTGTGCAGGTGAGGATTTAATTTGGCCCCCGACAGAAAAAAAATCCCAAAGCTCTCCGAGAATTTGAACCCGGGTCTCCCGCTTGAGAGCTCAGGGTTCCAGCCGTTTGACCAGTCGCTCCTCTTTCGTGTCATCAGATTGATCTTCAATATCTGTGAGACATTGATTCTCTGACCAGGACAACAAATTATGTCTACCATCCGTGTAGAAGTGGGAGGAGTCTAAGTATGATTTAATAAGCGTAGATTCCACTCTAGACATCTTACATATCAATCAGCTGACAGTCGCTGCCTGAAACATTACAGCCAATGAGCCATGGAGTGGGTTCAAGATAAACAGCAAAGTTTTCTCAGATCGTTTTGAAATAACAACAACAGCAAAGTGTTTTTTTCCTTCTTCAAGGCCTTCCATTAAATGAGGAAAATTGTGGGACGTGTGTGTGGTGACAATTGATGCATTACTGAGCCCATTACTGCACCATTGGACACATTACTGCATTACTGGGCACATTACTGCATTACTGGGCCAGTTACTGTACTACTGGGTACATTACTGCACTACTGGGTACATTACTGCACTACAGGGTACATTACTGCACTACTGGGCACATTACTGCACTACTGGGCACATTACTGCACTACTGGGCACATTACTACATTACTGGGCCAGTTACTGCACTACTGGGTACATTACTGCACTACTGGGCACATTACTGCACTACTGGGCACATTACTGCACTACAGGGCACATTACTGCACTACTGGGCACATTACTGCATTACTGGGCACACTACTGCATTACTGTGCACATTACTGGGCAGAAACATTCTACAAATCCGTGAAGAAAGCATCTTACTGCTTGGCAGAGTTTCTAAAGTCTTTGATTGGCCAGTGAAAGTTACTGCTTAATATCTCGCTGACAGAACCTGCCCCATACGGCCTATTGTTGCACTTCAGGAACACAAGCCAATCCTGCCTCGAGCGGCCCTATAGTTGCAGCTCAGGAATACAAGCCAATCCTGCCCCGAGCGGCCCTATAGTTGCAGCTCAGGAACACAAGCCAATCCTGCCCCGAGCGGCCCTATAGTTGCAGCTCAGGAATACAAGCCAATCCTGCCCCGAGCGGCCCTATAGTTGCAGCTCAGGAAAACAAGCCAATCCTGCCCCGAGCGGCCCTATAGTTGCAGCTCAGGAACACAAGCCAATCCTGCCCCGAGCGGCCCTATAGTTGCAGCTCAGGAATACAAGCCAATCCTGCCCCGAGCGGCCCTATAGTTGCAGCTCAGGAATACAAGCCACAATCTGGCGCCAGCCTCCCTATTGTTGCAGCTCAGAAGTCCAAGACACAACCTGCCCCAGACAGCCTATTGTTGCAGCTCAGGAACACAAGCCACAATCTGGCGCCAGCCTCCCTATTGTTGCAGCTCAGAAGTCCAAGACACAACCTGCCCCAGACTGCCTATTGTTGCAGCTCAGAAATACAAGACACAACCTGCCCCAGACTGCCTATTGTTGCAGCTCAGGAACACAAGCCACAACCTGCCCCAGACTGCCTATTGTTGCAGCTCAGGAACACAAGCCACAACCTGCCCCAGACTGCCTATTGTTGCAGCTCAGAAGTCCAAGACACAACCTGCCCCAGACTGCCTATTGTTGCAGCTCAGAAGTCCAAAACACAACCTGCCCCAGACTGTCTATTGTTGCAGCTTAGAAGTCCAAGACCAATAGATAATC